ACACGAATGAAATGTCCACACCAGTAACCACAGATTTAGGAACAACTGTGTGAAACTGGAACACGTATTGAACTACATTTTTAGTGTCCTCAGCGTTGCACTTTTTCTAAAAATTCATTTCTACTCCTATGGGGCAACAGATATTGGAATTTGATTTTACGCCCTTAAAATCGTAACATCCTAGGTGTGAAAGTAAAACTCACGAAATTAAATTAATGCTGAACACAGAGTACTGCTCACAAACACAAATGCGACAGCTTTCACAAACGCAGTAGGCCTAGACACACAATTACAAGCTCTGAACTAATATGCATGATATATCTTGCAGCCCTACAGTTTCGCATATAAAAAAAAACTCCGTGGCCTGCAGTCCGCAAGCGAACTATACCGACCGAGCGACCGCGGCTTGTCGGCGAAGTTAGTGCCAACTTTAGCGGAGAGAGGGTGTCACGTGGTCAGCACAACGAATCACCACGGCCATTAATCTCGGTTGTCTAGACCTGAGCCACTATTTCCTTGAAATAGCTCCTCAATTATCCTCATGAGGCTGAGTGGAGGCGGTGCAGTTTCGTATATACGTTACACAAAATTAACATTCCGTAATTGAACGTCGAACTCGGTATCGCCTGTGTTGAAACTCTGGACAGCCTATGTTTGCAGACCTTTCCCCGGACGTACGTAATTACACACTTCGGCCTTCAGTAATTCAGACACTAACTAATGAATGAAACTATCATACTTACCAACTGGAAATATCCAACGAGGTCCCCCGTCCCACCTCTGGCCCAGAGTACGGGAATCCCAGCGGTTCCAGCAGCCAGCGCCACAGCAAACCCAGCGGGACTTCCACCAATTATTAATGCAGCGACCAAATGTTTTCCTTCCAGCAATGCACATGCCTCTTCTAAAATGGCGGCAGAGAACTGTTGGTTTTCCGGGAGAGTAATTATGAGTGGTGATACCGTGATATTGTGCTGGCGGTAATTGTCCATGAACATCCTTGTGACGTTGTTCATGGTTTTATTGAAAGCGCGGGAAAATGTTTGAGCGTGCGTTTCACTGAAAGCTATCGCAATGTACATGTTCCATTGTTGGGGCGGCGACTCTGACTGTGTCTGCAGCTCTCTCACGGTGGCATGGATGGAGAGGAACATGAGTGCTGGCAACAACAGTACCAGGACAACTGATTGTTTGGAGAAGGGTGGGTGTTTTACCTGGATTAATGAATTGTTATTAGTTTTAGGGGTAATCGATGACATGGTTAGGCAAGGTAGATATTATTTTGGCTTACTATTAAGCTAGTAAAGGTTATATTTAAGTTGGATTTCGTGGTTTAGGTTTAAACTAGCTTAAACGTAGAGCCGTCTTGCCCTACCCATTAGGATATTTTAAGATGAAAATCATAGTCGTTTTATCATCTGACTCTGTGCATTAGGGAGATATTTTAGAATTTGGAAAAGGAAGAAAAGGTAATTAAATTCTTGGATGTTGCAATCGTGTGTTTTCTTGAATTACGTCTGTAACTCGAAATGCACTTTATGTTACAGTTTAAATCAAGCAAATTTCAAAATCTTTTTTTGCAACAGATTGTTTTGTATATATAAGGTGTCTTTCTCTGTACTTGAATATCGTTGTCTGGTCTTCTAAACTGTCAGATTTACAGTAAGTAACCTGTTGCGGAAATGAAACACATCGAACCCATTACGCGACTACTAGCTTTCATTTTGCCGTAAATATGTACATGAATGTATCTCACAGAGAGAGAAACTGTTTACAACTCATGAATTATAACGTTGTACCAAGATTTAATAAAAGAGAAGATTAAGGAAATATATATTGAAATTATGATAAGAACTTATCATTAAAGAACAGAAGGGGAACTATTAGAAATTCCATAGGTGGGAACCGTGAGACACCTGACAGTAAGCTGAGTCTCGACAAGCCATGACGCACTCCCTGAAACAAAAGAAAACAGACTGTTAACTCCAGCCAACAGAACATTCCTATTGCTAGAAACAACAACGTGTGAGGGTACTAAAATAGACATGTCCCTACAATATTCAGTTATATTTTCAAACTTCAATCCACTTTCAGCATTTCTCAACAATTACTGGAAAATATACGCGACACAGAAATGTACCTGATACATAGTTAGGATGAGTATGCGTTCATCCCGGAGATTCTCAGACTTTGTACTGTGGCATGCATACCCACTGCTAGGCAACAGCCGCGAAATAAGCAACTAAACAATAGCCGTTGCTATGTAATGGTTCTGTAAGCAACGGCCTTTTTTTTTTAATTCGCTTAGTGGTGGGTGGAGTCCAACAGGGTCCCCTCAGAACGGCGGCCACTGATTGGCCTATTGTACCCGCTCCCAGGTGATTGTGATGATGGAGAATTTGGTGGAACGAAGATTGGCAGGGGAAACCGAAGTACTCGGAGAGAACCCGCCCCAGCGCCACTTTGTTCACGACAAATCCCACTCAACCAGACCCGGGATCGAACCTGGGCAGTCGCGGTGGGAAGTCAGCGACTAACCGCTTGAGCTATGGCGCAGCCAAACAACGTCGGCATCACAAAAGATGAGATAGCAACAGAAGAACGGTGTTTCCTAAGCGCCCATAACGAAGTGTTACAAGCGCAAAAAGTCTAGAGTTCAGTCACTCAGTCAGTCAGTGGAATGGAGTGAGTTGGTTGGTCAGTGAGTCAGTGAAGTAACTACTGGGGCTCAGTCGTTGTGAGCTGTTGCTTTTAGAAGCTGGTAGCTGAGGCCGGGGGACAGTTCGGAAACCAAAAGGAAGGGGATGTTTGCTGTTGGAAGCCGCTACAGAGAAACGGCTAAGAAAGACTGAGAAGACTTTATGTGTCGTTACAGTGATCTTTGAAGTAACTCAGTGAGAAGGTCATGGCTATTTGTAGTTAGTACGTTCTGTAAGTGTTCAACAAATCCGATTACCAATCCAAACCCCTTCTATAGTCACGTTCATACACGTGACAGTATCTTGTCCTGCAGTCCCCGAGTTTCAATTTTAATTTATTGTTGCTTCTTTTCAACAAACTCTCCCTCCGAGGGAAACATTTATTCTGTAACAGCCTGTTATCCAGATACTTTTCTTTTATATATCTTTTGTTGGAAAGAGAAGAAAGAAACGAATGATGTGAACCAGAGTCTTGCTATTGTTTTCCTATTCCGCGTGACTCGGAGCGGTTTCCTATGAACCCACCCGGCGTCAGTTGGCTTTGGACTTTCAGTGCACGTGTACTGTTCTGTGACGTGCTGCTGTAATGTGAGTTCTGAAATTCCGTAGCATAAGTGCATTTCTATTAAACTCTAAATAAGTATTTTCCCTTCCATTACATGTGCGCATGACTGTTAAGCGTTTATGAATTCTCACGAAGGACGCAGCGGCATTTGCGATCCATCTTCAGACCACGAAACACAAAGCAGCATGTTCAAGTGTGAAAATCACTTTCATTTTCATACACAGTTCTGTTGGTGAAAATTATTTTAAGTATGCAGCCGCAGAATGTACGTTCACTTACCATTAGGCTAAATACTAATTCGTTTCGGCTCTAATAAAATTTTGACAGCTTACCGATGGAACATATCGCCTCCATCTTCAGGGTTCTGCTGCTACTTTCTTTTCCTGGTTTCTTTCTTGGTTTAATATTTTACCCTCAGCATGGAGGCGACGTGTGCAACCGAAAAGTCGATTAACTTCTAACGTAATATCCCAGCAGGAAGATGTTCCTGTGTGCCGACAAAATTTAAAATAGGGCTAAGGATACTTTGACAATTTGTTGCCTGGCCAATGATACCGCACACCTCAGGAGCAGGTGAAAAATGAGCGATTGTGGAATGTTTAACAGCAGGGGAATCCTGAAGGAGCTTGAAGATAAATCTACTCCAGTCCCACTTTATCCAGTACGAGTCTCAAAGGACTTCATCCGGGAATGAACTCATGTCTCCACTAGGTAACTGTCGTCCTGCTTTGCAAATTTCATTAGTTCTTGAGTATATTGTGACATGACGCCTGAAAGCCGGAAAACGGAGCCAGAGCAAAGTCCACTGCTAGCCAGCAGTTCTCCAAACACAAGTTCCCGCAACAATGGACAAGTCCATTGCTAGCCAACGGTTCGGTGAGCACGTTTTCGTGATAACAAACGATTCCCATGGATAAGCGCTAGCTTATATAAAGAGAAATGCAGACAGAAACGAGAGGATTCGTCAAATGTCGTTCAAGGCAGTCGCAGTAGGAAAAGAGGGAACAAAGAACTAATTCAGAGATTCTTCGTTCGTCATTCGTCACACTGGAAGAGAAGACACACGTGGTCCAGTAAGGAATGGAGCGAGGCTTGGACAGTCATTGATTGTGAGCTGTTATAACTGGTTCTAATTGTAAAGAAGTGTCAATAAATCCACTAATCAGCTAATCCAGAACCCGTTATTATTCGTCACGAAACCCCGAATTCATGACATTTTCTCTATGAAATTCAGCTAACTGGTTTCTGACTGATATCTTAAACATTGCTCAAAAATCGTGAATTACACGTACGTACTAGAGAGGAAGTAATAATCACGTGGGAACCAAATATATTTGATATCAGACTCAACTGGAAAATAAAAGTTTCCTTTAACTGAATATGCGCTGATCATAGTGGCCGCGCGGTCTAGCTCATGAACTGTCCTCGCCAGTTCGAACACTGGGATCGTGGGTTCGAATCCCATTCTAGGCATGGATGTCTCTGTGAGTTTATTTTGTGTTTGTATTGTTCTGTGTTTAGAGAGCGGCCTTTTGTTGAGCTGATCTCCCATCCAAAGAACCCTACCGACTGTGTAAGAGGTTATGAAACTGAGAAAAACGATCTAGGTCCCAAGGGTTGTAGTGTCACAGGCAGATAAATAGATAAGAATAAAAGTAAAAAAGTAAAGGTATCCCTGTAACAGGCCGTGGAGGTCCATATGGTTGTGAGCTGTTGAGGCTCCCACGTTTTCTAGACAATCGGATCATAGATGGCGGTAAGGTTGTCAGCCTTACGCGCCGGCCGCCCTTTTACCCCAAGAATATTTCTGCTACTCGTATCTGTTAGAGGCTGTGTCGACTCCAGGGCCATTGTGCGTCTGGAAGGATTAGGTAAATTGAAAAAATCCACCTCATCGGGATTCGATACCGCCACCTTCCGGCTTGTAGCATAGTGCCTCGCCCAACTACGCTACCGCGCGCTCTCTGATAAATAGATAGAGAGGTAATTGAATACTCAAGTTCAGCACAAGGATATAATATTATTTTTGACGAACACTTCTTTCACATGAACATTTAAAATCTCGACTAAATATTAAGGGTGGGAGGTTGCAGTTGTCTTGCGCAGTAGCTACTGACAAATCTGATCTCATTGCTCCTACCCTCTGCATCCACTCTGCTTTTATTGTCCCTGAACATTAGCACAGGACGGGAGATTTCACAGCGTGAGATGCTGTACATGAACACTGAACCACATGCGGTGGTGGGACAGACTTCAGAGGGGTAGGAGTAATTAGATGTACCCTCTTAACGCTGCTGAGGGGAGATACAAGGACATATTTCATGTAAACTGCTAATGTTATTAAATGAGGCTCTCTATGATAATGACGACGACAATTATGATGATGGTAAAAGCAAACTGATATGAAAGAAAAAGGTAAATTTCTCTCTGTGCTTAACTAATTAAGCGCTACGCCAAGATGTATGGGGTAAGGTAAGGTAAAACTATCCCTGTAATAGGCCGTGGAGGCCCATAAGTTTGTGAAACGTCGAGGCTCCCACATTTTCTAGACAATCGGCTCAAAGATGACGGTGAGGTTGTCTGCCTCACATGCCGATTGCACTCTATCCCTCCCCTCCCCCAAGAAGATTCCTGGTACTCATTTCTGTTAGAGGCTGAGTGAACCCCAGAGTCATAGTGCGGCTAATATTATTAGGTGGATGTACGTATAGATCCACGTATTCTTGACCTCGGCACTAGTTGGAAGTGAGTGGTGAGCTTCATTTCTCTGCTGCTTTACCCCAGCGGAAAGAGTGCCCTCTATCCATTAGTAGGAGTCTGCGTTGTCCTCAGAATCGGTCTGGACGACGAGGAAAAATAAAAAACAAACCTTTCCCCTACAGGGACCCCTCCGTCGTCCAGCCCGTAGCCAGTGAACATACCGACAGATATCTATTTCTTAAACCGATTAAATATTTGTAGGGAACAAAATATAATTTAAATAAGGATACACGGGAATGTATGTACTTGTACTGTATACATATTCTGCTCCTTGCATATGGATAATACTTCTCATCATAATTATAAAGGTCAGTCGCTGAATTATGTAAATTAAATTAATGTCTGTTTATTCACAGAGTAGCGCAGTAGATATAGCGACTGGCTGTGCGTTGGACGACCAAAGTGTCGGAGTTCTGAGTCCCCGTAGGGTCAGAATTTTCTCTTCTCCATATCGTCCAGACCGGCTCTGGGGCCCACCCAGCCTCCTATCCAATGGATACCGGATGATCTTTCCCGGGTGTAAAGTATTCGGGTCGTGAAGCTGAACATTCACCTCAAGCTAGTGCCGAGGTCAAGAAAATGTGGTTCTATACATCCACTCCCTCATAAGCCTTCATGAAGTAGTGCTTAATTAGTTAAACACAGGGACAACTCTACATTTTATACCCTTTTATTCACGGAACCAGATACAATTAATAAATACGCCACGTGGGTAAATTGTTGCGCTACGTATATGTTTACACGTAAATATTTCGTGATTTGTCTAATGACGTTATCAGTAGCTCAGTACACAGCGTCGAATGTTAGGTGTGTTAGCCAGTAACATTGCACGTGAAATCCCCACAGCAGTGACCATGAACGTCTTATCTTCTAGGAAGTATAAGCTCCTTGTCGCCTGCATTACGTACTTACTACTTGCTTGGCTCACTTTT